ATACAGTCTTCCATTAACACAATTTTAATCGTTCCCTCGCTTGACAAATCAGTTGGGTATTGAAATAACGATATTATAAAGGTAACACTATGGATTTCCCCATATTTTGTGAAACATTTAAGTGTCTTTACTATTTCTATCTTATTTGAATACTTTGTATTTTAGGTTCAATTCCCGAGAGAAACAGAAGTAGAAAAACTTAGTGGGACGGCGTCATGATTTTAAACAGTTGGTATAAACCTATTACCTTCTGTACAGAATTGATGGTACTGCTTATACTCCTGTTATGTCAACAGAAAAAGAACCAAGGGTAGGTCATAGAAAAACGCATTTCTAATTTTGTCAAATTTGAACGATATCAGAAAGGAATGTCACACGTTGTCTTTATCTGACGTGGTAGGTAACACCAACACGGGCAATTGTATACACAAACTAAAAGAGTTATATCACTTACGTTAGCTACATGAAGTCAATTAAGATGCATCGTTCAGAGAGATATTCATAAATATGGTCTTTCCTATACTGTATGGGTGACTCTGGTGTGCGACTTTTTGTCCCCGAGGTTTACCGTAGACTTGTAGCAAAACATATATTCTAGAACTTTTTACTTGAAATACTAGTTTAAGAATGAATTGACTTTTGTAGCCTAAAGATGTAAATATTCTGAATAGTTTCGGATAACTTTAGACATTTTTATTTCTTATGACCTTTAGTACACGTAAACATATCCCTGATGAGTTTTAAAAATAATGTGTGAAATGACCAAAGAGTGTACAGAAATGTTTCCTTTGTCTGGCTTTCTGCATCGACAAGCAAAATATTAAATGAGTATTTACTTACTTCGTATTTTTAGTGATTGCTTTTACTTAAACTTGGATAGCAAGTATTATTTTCGACACGTGTAAAGTTCGACAAACAGATTGACATACCGACTCTATAAATAGTTCAGCTGTGTACCGAGAACAGTGTCAGAGATACACTAGTGGAATCTAGCCTGGTCCCCAGTATTACAGCAGTGTACCTACGGATTAATCCAAGAAACAATCACATATCTCTCCATTTTGACGTCATAGGCTGTTGAACTGTTAGTGGAACACTCAAACGTAAGACGCTTTTTATTTGAAATTTAAAACAAGAGGCCCAGAGGGCCTGTATCGCTCGCCTGGATATTTATGCAATCATGACAAGATATTCTCATTGAGACCAATATTGCAAAGAAGCCTCTAGGTCCAGGGCCTGCCAAATGGTTGATATGTTAATTCTGATAGTATGACTGTGTTAGTTTCTGCATGCCAAGCAATTGTGCATGTGGTTTTGGGGCGGGGATCTTAACTATGTTCATGCTATTTCCCAAAGACTCAGCCTCCAAGGCATATGGTCAGTAGGTTATTGGGTTTTTCAGAAGGCCTTCTGTTGCCGCGGAGACAGATTAATAACATGACATATCGAAATATAGATCTATGTACTTATCTGCCAATACTCTTTATGTACGTCGCTGATGCTATGAATAAATTGCATTAGCAAAACAAAAAGACCGATGCTGCACGACTTCCACTTTTATCTCCATAGGAAGTTAGTTTGTCTTAACATGATAAGAACAAAACCCTGAAACTATGCATTAAATAAAGTTTAGAGGTGCAGTGTGTCGCTTTCTAGTTTAGTGCTTGCCAGAAAGCTCCAGATAGTTCAGAAGGATGATGGAGTGTCCTAATCGCAACTTCTCGGGGAAATTTGTGTGACTAGTGGAAACTATTCAAAACTCAGCAGGGATAATTTTGAATACTTACTGTACTGAAATTCCCAATTGTGCGATGCAATAGAAATATTGAGGTTTTGAATTGTGTTAATTAAAGTTCCTTGTTGCTGTTGTCAGTGCCGTGGCCTAGGACAATTCCTGCATTTCATATTTCGCCCCTGTGTTATCAATTTCGAGTTCAAAATCAATTTTGTTCATGTTTCAGTATTGTCCTTCTATTTCTTTTAAGATAAATTTGGTGTGTTGTTGAACTCCACACTTTGTTGGCATACAAGTATTATGTTTTGTATCAGTATCGGTGTGCTGTATGTGTTATTAAAACATTAGATTTATTTAAGTTGGCCACGTTTGAACATAACAATGACATAAAATAATTACAAAAGGCAATAAGGTTATTTCATATGGAAAATAATATTTATTGTTCGGTTAAGTTGCATATGAAACAGATCTAGATAAATGATGAAAATTAAAATGGTCGTGTTGCAAGCAAGATACTGCACACCGCTTTCCAGCCGGCGAAATGAGGAAGAATTTGTTATGACAGTGAACAAGTATTAACAACATAATGTTCATATTAATAACAGTGGATGAAGATTGATTATACACTATATTGACAAATGTTGAAAATTTGCCGGTATAGAGTATTATCTCATATTAAACTTGAACATAGGATTCATATCATTACAAATAATTATGGGATTGTGCATAATATTTGCATTTGCAAACAGATGAATGAAATACTTGATAGTAAGCAATGATCTTTAACTACAATAAACAATGGTAGGGAGATTAAAGAAATGAGAGTACCAGACTATAACTGTTGCCTACTTATGATGTGTAAATTGCAGTGATATTTGCATTGCAATGCTATCATTATATGCTTGGATGTTTTGTAGATTTCTTTTAAAGAAAAGAAGTGTGCAAGAATTTCATATACTGTGCAAGGGACTTCACTTTACGTACTTACCATTTTAAGTAAAGGTTCAAGCTTTTTAAATCTCCATGGTCCGATGCCATATTTTTTCATATCAGTGGAATAATCGCAAAGTTTTATGGTAAAATACATTTGGTCCCTCCTTATTTAATAATGCAAAATATATATATATATATCATATGCATGTTTGGTATTAAGCAAATTCTAATACAGTTTCTGGTGAATTCGTACATTAATGTATAGATATATGATAAGGCAATTTAATGGAAACACCTAAAGATTCAAAATTAAAAGGTTTATATCGATAACTGAGTTAATTTTTGATTTTAATGCAATGACGAAAGAATATACATTACTAAATTAACAGGCTGAAGTAGATATAAATCAAAAATTCATGTATGTCACAGTTACATGTAGCTTCATATGACATCAGACACCATTAGCATGTATTAACTCACATGCTATATATGCAATGGTATACGAAATATTCTTGATTTTCATTAATTGAAGAAAGGGTGCATAGTAGTTGTTGCAATGAACTACTTTTAGTAAGCGGCACATACACTGTTTGACTTACGAACATACTATTTACATCTAAATTTCACAATTCAGCATCAGACATGGTATAGGCAATATAATCTGGAAACGATTCATTAAAATGAGGAATGAAACCGACTCTAAACAAGTGTAAGTCATGGAAATACTTATTACTCAGTAGGATGGAAACTTATGTTTATAGTGTAGATAATACTCTTCAGGATTACTCACCATGCTTATTAATTATTGATCAAAATTCATTTTGTCGAGACAAATTTTTCGACGGAACTAACTTATACATCCTGGTTCTGATCAACGAAATGTTCATAGTGTAGTTGAGGATCAGTGTTCCATGGCATAATAGCCTGGTACTGATCAATGTTCATAGTGAAGTTGAGGATCAGTGTTTCCATGGCATAATAGCCTGGTACTGATCAATGTTATTAGTGTAGTTGAGGATTAGTATTTCCATGGCACAATAGTCTGGTACTGATCAATGTACATAGTATAGTTGAGGGTCAGTGTTTCCATGGCGCAACAGTCTGGTACTGATCAATGTTTAAAGTGTAATTGAGGATCAGAGTTTCCATGGCACAATAATCTGGTACTGACCAATGTTCATAGTTTAATTCAAGATCAGTCTGGTCAATATTCATTTTGGTTCGATTATGCTTACGCTTATTTTCTGTTTAGATTTTATTTCACACTATTTTTTGTTTTGATTGTATTTCCAAATATTTTCTGTTTTGATTGTACAGTTGTGCATACATCGTTCACACACCGTCCGCACATCGTCCACACATGGTGCGCACAACTATGCGATTTAACAATCGTTCGCCCCGTTGTGCGCTTCTCTCTGCACAACTGTGCGATTGTGTACAATTTGTAGATCAATATTACGGAATGGAAAAAGTACGGAAAGCTCGTATGGAATAATGAAAACTGCATATATTACTGTAATTTATCATCACAGTCATGAAGATTATATACAGTTTTACAATGTGTGTAACTTGAGGTTTCTCTTGTGAAACCAATTTCTATTATAAATACTTACCACAGTCATTATAATGCATATTCCAACCTTACTTGGCTCTTTACATACGTAAATAAAGTTTTTTTCCTCCCATGGGGAACCCCTGGAAAACCCACCAATCAGACGGCAGTATTCACGCACGTGATAAGACACGAAGCCATGCTTCCCACTTCATAATTCCAAAGCCCAAAAACGTGAGAGCCAAGGAGACAAGGGGAGGCTGGGAGGGAACTCACCTAATGACTGTGGTAAGTATTTATAATAGAAATTGGTTTCACAAGAGAAACCTCAATTCTATTTCAAAATACGTTACCACAGTCATTATAATGCGAATTCGACTTACCGCAGTGGTGTCTCCGTGGAGCGATGAAGGGTTCCAACAATAGGACCCATACCCCCGGAGGAAAAATTCAAAATACCCTTTCCTTTTGTGACACAAAGCCTGATTACGACCAGCGTTCCGGATCACGCGGAGAAGACATAATGAGGCTTATGCAAAAGAAGAGGGAGGACAGACAACGGACTGGGCAGCCACAAGAGGGCCCAAAGAATACAATCCGTCAGACTGTCCCGACAAAGATCGGAGATAGAACTCCGTAAACGTAGAATGACCCCTCCAAACAGCAGCTGTCATGACCTCAGCGTAAGAAGAACCATTAAATAAGGCCCACGAAGTAGCTAAAGCGCGAACCTCATGAGCCCTAACCCCTGACACCCGCAAGGACTGATCCCCTGCCGACTCATACGCAGCTCGANGAGGCCGAGGAGGCAGATGCTAGGGGAGGCAACATGCTCTGAAGGAGCGAAGTGCGCTCCGGGACGGCCGAATCCGTGGAAGGGCGTGGGCAAACCCCGTCCCCCAGAAGCTTCATAACTTCTGCACGTAAAGTGCGAAATGAAGCCGAAACCTCTGGAGGCACCGGATCAGCATCTCGGGGCCGGGATTGGGACACATCAGAAGGGCCTTCTGAGTCCAACCCAGACGAATCCAACGACTCTAAATCAGAGTCAGTAAACTCGCCGACTCTATCCTCATCCCGAGTCTCCGTAAAATTGGAGCAACCAGGAGAGCCCCGAAGAACGTCCCTCTCATCACTAGGAGAGGCACCCGCCGAATCCACCTCCATCAACGTCGCCCTCCGGGGAGGGGTGCGAGGAGGGGAAAGAGAACGTGACCTACCCGAGGGAACTATCGGGGCAATCGATAGTCCCTGAGGAACAGCAGGAGCAGGACCACAAGACCCTGGAACCTGCTGTAAGGTAGGAGTTGACACCGGACAGCGGAAGTTACTGGTAGACTCAAATTCCAAAATAGGAGCTCGAGCCAACGCAGCACGACCAGCCGCCCTAGCATCACGCGGTCTCTGCCTGACTGAACCGGCAGCAGAAGCTGGCCGGGAGCGCGAACGCTTGCGCGAACGGCTCGGTGGCGGATGGAGGGGGGGCCCCATCGCCGCAGGCAAGAAGGCGGGGGGGGCATATCCAGGCTGGAAACCCATACCACCCTGGGGTGGAGGGGGAGCGGCTGGAAAAGCCCCCTGCTGGGAGAAACCCCAAGACTGCCCATAGGCGGTCGGTGGTTGGGGAGGAGCATAAAAGGAGCCTGTTGACCCCAATGACCTCCATTCCCACCCTGCAAATAGGTGGGATAAACCTGATGCCCAAAACCGGAGGCAGGACCGGTTTGGGGGGGGGGGGNGGGGGGCGGGGTAGGGAACCTAGGGCCACCTACACACCCGCCGCCATAAGCCACACCTGGCTGACCTGACCAACTCCACCCAGACTGACCTACAGCAGGGCCAAAACCTGTAGGGCCAGTAAAACAAGCCCCACAAGGGGAGCAGCGTGCACCGGCAAAACCAAACGCAGCTGCGCTGGCACCTACCATAGGAAAACCTGGGGAGGAGGCACAAGGGATAGAGCTGGAAGAATAGGTTTTTACACCAGTGCTCACACCACTGTAAAATCCAGCCGGGGCTAGCGAGGCCGAGGCATCACTTACCACCGGACCGGGCAGCAAATGCTGCACAGTGGTGGACGGCGTGCTAGACGCCTTCACCACGCGAGGGGCTACATCAGGGATGCAAGGAACCCCGGGAGCAAACAAAACTGCCGGGGGCCGGTCTCCGACACCAACACCCTCAGGAGTGGAGCGGACCGGCAGGAGGCCACCAACCGAAGCATCCGCGGACACAACATGGCTGGCCTGTTTAACATTCCCAAGGAAATGTTGGGCCACCTGCCCTCCCACCACAAATTGGGAGAGGAGGCCGCCCCCCTGTCCCCTAGTCACCGTGGTGACCGGGACAGAGGCCAAACCCTCACCCACGTCGACCGACAAAACGGAAGGGGGGGGGTGGGTGAGAGAAAGGTCCGGGTCCAATGAAACAAATTGTTTCACAACGGCCCAGGTACGGGTCGAAACCGCCGAAACGAACCCCAGGGAAGACTCAACTGAGGTCGGAATTCCGCTGGTATTCTCCGAGGGCTTAGGCCTAGCCTTAGCCCTCGCCCCACCCCTACCCCTCCTACCCGACTTACCTGCACGCCCTCGCGGGCGGGGAGAACCACCGGCAGGAGTCGGCTGCCAGGCACGGCAAATTTCACACGGCTGCTCCAGAGAGCAAGACCGACAGCCAGGACAGTAAGGGTGGGGGGCGGAAGCCTCAAAAAAATGACCCCCAGGACAGCGCCTTTGAGAAGGAGGAGTCTCCATCTCAAGTAAACAAACCGCAAAAACGCGAACACGTGGCCGGAACCTGGTCGCAAAACGGCGCAAAATAAAGCAAAACGCTAAATTAAAACAAAATAAAGTTACATAGTATTAAAGGATACGTATATGTGTGGGTACAAACAACGCCTGTTGCAGTTGGAACCCGTAGACACCAAAACACGTCCGTAAACACGGCCGGCTGAAGGAATTATGTAGTGGGAAGCATGGCTTCGTGTCTTATCACGTGCGTGAATACTGCCGTCTGATTGGTGGGTTTTCCAGGGGTTCCCCATGGGGGGAAAAATTCTTTATTTACGTATGTAAAGAGCCAAGTAAGGTTGGAATATGCATTATAATGACTGTGGTAACGTATTAACGTATTATGAAATAGAAACAGCATTACAGTGACCGTTGAATGGGTTTGGCTCCAAGGTAACAGGTAAATAACAATTTGATGAGTGACCGGAGTTTTACCTGGCCTGTACCTGACACATAGAGCTGATATGCGATACCTTACGTTTAGTATTTATTATTTGCACTCGGTTTGCCTATAGCTCCCCTTCACCTGGGTTTTCACACCTCTGGCGGACCCCTCTGACCCTACCCGACGAAATACGTAAGCGCCCCGGTCGGGGGAAAACTACGGTCCAGGTACATGTACAAATTGAATTGGTTTTCTTTACCTGTATACGAGACTGTGTTGTAATGTCATATGTGTGGATTAAGGTCGTTTAAAAAATTCCGAAAACACTGTTTCTTATTTTAAGAAAGTATAGACACAAAGTTTATTTGTTTACACAGGAAACCGTATATACTGTTAAGGCATTCCTCAATTTACACCAACCACGACTGTTATCGCACATCTTTCGTTCATCGTGCACACAAATGTGCGAAAGCAATGGTCGTCCAACTTTTTATCGTTCGCATATCGTGCACACATCGTTCACACACCGTGCACACATCGTGCATACACCGCACATCGTGTTACGTTGTGCGATCTCACAACTGTACTTAAAACATTTTCCTTCAGTCATGCCTCTGCTTAAAACGTCAGTATGGCAAAATAATTAATTAATTAATAATCAAAAATGAAAAACATTAAGTATTATTTAAACACTGTACAACGCTTACATATGATTTTTCGTTAAAGGTTCTAAGAGGAAATGTTTATCTTCTGATGTAGTTTATCCCGCTGTCCGTTTGAAAAGAAGTGATTGTCTTTGATAAATTAATTAAGATACGGAAATTACTTTTATAGGAATACGTGATGAAATATTTAAAAACGAATACCGAAGGATTATTTTTTATGTTATTAAACAAACATTTTATGAGACCATTTAAACCAACAAGGAGGCAACGAGAACAATATGTTTTATATAATCCTAATAATATTAAAACTGAATAAGTTAAATTGATCATCTTGTTGGCGCGAATGAAGTTTAAGCTTCTTAATTATAGGCGCATATCTCATATTCGAAGGTAGCGAAACAAGATAATATTTTTACTAGGTTATATTGATTTCAGATAACAATGCAGTACTCTAGTCTGTATTTGCTTATCACTTAGAGCTGCTCATCTGTGAGGATTTTAAAATAGAGGGAATAGCCGGGATGCTATGGCTGGGTAGCATCAACCGTTTCAACACTACACTCATGTATGTAACGTTCAAGGTTTAGAGGGTTCGATATGTGTTATGCCTCCACACCGTTGTCACTCATTCATTACACCCGTTCGAGAGAGGTGACTTTTATTATAGTATTCATTATACATCTTACTCCCAAGAATCTTAGTTTGATTGTAATTATATTCATTAAATACTACTTACAGTACATTCATTACAGTTGTAAAGTCTTAAACACCGATATAATACAGCACTAGACTTGGTTTTGTATGTCAGGGCCTTGTCGGACCTCTTGTCACAACGGGAACAGTTAGTCCTTGTGGAATTAACTTGATGAATTTAATTTGGATTTAACATACGCACTAGCTACCAATAGAAATACACATGGTAACTGTAAATAGTGTATGTTTCATCCGAAAACAAACATAAAATAATTCATTTTTATTTTTGCATTGAACTGTTCTCTCAGCCTTCACGTATCATACTGGTATTAAAATCATTTCCGGAATTATACATATCGTACAGAAGCAAAGGATTCGATTTTGATTTCCCTCCCATATTTCCAGAGTTAGATTATTAAATGCAACCTCTTCTCAATCTCCTCATCATTTCCGTTTCGAGGCATCAAGCCGACGTCTATTGAGAACTAATTATAATTCCTATTCAGGAAATACTCTATGAATGTTACTTAACATGTTTCCCAGTTGTTTGAGTTTTTTCTAGTTAAAAGTATGTTAGTACATAACAATTATTGCATAGTTTCAAGACCCCGTCACCAAAATGACCAGCAACTGTACACTTACATTGTAACATCCTGACATGAAGTGCACCAGTAGTTAGTAGTCGCTGGCTAGTGGTATTGGTTTCCCGTCATATACATGTCTGCCTGGTAATAGCTCAAATATAACTAATAGGTTTGCACTCATATTTCCCTTTTCCTTTAAAACAAGCAAAATGATTTATAGATTTTCCTCGAAAACGTGACTGTAAAACATTATAGGGGTTTATACTTTTTGATTAGTTTATAAATGTCTCGACTGTCAAGGAATTAGTTTTGTCATGCAATTCACCGGTTACACGCTGGTTCACGTGTACTTGTGCCCAGCGCATCAGTGGGATGTGAGAAATTTGAGACATTTAAAGAAATTCAATTACAGTAAGACCAGTGTGCTTTATCATGTGCTTTAATTAAATCTACCAAAACTGTTGTGTTTGCAAGATGTGCAGCAATGTTATTTGTGCTTGACGATGGGCTGTATGTAATATAATCCCACAACATGAAGAATGTTGGACTAAAGCGTGCTACTCGATACGAATGCTGCAAATTGTCTTTTAAACGCAAACAACAAAGACACCATTACTTTCTATTACATTAGTGTTAAGTGACATATTACAAAGTCTATAAATGCAAAACATCTCCAATTATCTTGAATAACTTTCCGAAATTATTCTATTCACTGCATATCTCTTTCAAATGCTTCCAATTATGGATGCTTAGTTTGTTTTTAGCACAAACAGGAAATGGACACTTATTTTGCGAGCTGGGCGGTGCTACTGTGCATGCCATTGGGGTAACTAAAACAAAGAGTAACAAAAGTATTATTAAGAGATGCATCATGGTTAGATGGGTAAGGAAATGTATTTATTTTTTTCTGTATTTTATTGACACTTTTGGGTGAAAAATAGGGGGGGGGGGGGGGGGAGGATACCATTCAATAAAAACAAAATGCAAAGCCGAACCTTGATTGGGTTTTTTTTGTCAGTTTGTTTAACATGTAAAAGATATACATGGAGAAATAATCCTATTAAACAGGCGCGTTTAGATTTTTTTCTTGTGTCAGAAAATATGTTAAGTAATGTACAGAACTCTAGTATTGAAACTGGTTACAGATCTGATCATTCTATACCTACTATTACAATAACATTTAATGAATTTAAGAGAGGAAGAGGACTTTGGAAATTCAATAATTCTTTATTACATGATGAGGATTATCTCAAAACTATAAATAAATTATTTTTGAAATTAAAATGCAGTATGCCCTATTAATATATAACTCAAATTTTATTGATAATATATCAGACGAGGATATCCAGTTCAAAATCAACTTACTATTTGAAATACGAGGCAAAACTATTTCCTTCCGCATCATATAAGAAAAAAATGCAAAATCAACAAGAAAATACTCTTATAGAACCTATTAACAGTTTAGAAAATATGGATAATGTCAATCTGGATCAAGTAGTTGAAAAAAAAGAAGGAATTGGAAAAAAAACAAGTTAAAATGAGGGGTAGCATTATAAGGTCAAAGGGGCAAAATGGGTGGAAAAGGGAGAGAAGCCAACAAACTATTTTTTCAATCTTGAAAATAGACATTTTACCTCGAAAATTATCCCGATGATAGAAAAAGAAAACAAGAAGATATTTTGAATGAAGTTAAATTATTTTATGAACAACTGTATGCAAGTACATGTAATAGTAATATCGAAGAAGTGGATTTAAATAAATTTCTATCTAATTGTTATGTTCCAAAATTAAACAATGTAGAATCTTTATCTTTAGAAGGTAATATATCTTTTACTGAAGCGTCACATACTTTAAAACATATAAAATAATAATAAAAGCCCCGGGTCGGATGGAGTAATTATATCAACACAAGTGTAACAATTAAGGAAAAACTTCCAAACTCAACACGCCATGCCGGACATGTATTGGCGAATATAGTAATTTTGATGGTTTTTAATCAAACTCATTTTAAGTAAAAATCAAATATATTAGGTTTCTGTGATTTAAGTTCATGTAAGCTTGGAATTTGATTTTTGGATTGTCTTCGTCAACATTTCGAGTTTAGCAGGGGCGGGCTGTTAATGTCTAAACTAAAGACAATTAGCAGTTAGTCTTTAAATAACGACCAACTGAATAGTTGCTTTTCTATACCCTTTTTAATTATCAATTGATGAACCCTGCGTGTCGGAAACCTATTCAAAGTCTTTAACGCTGAAAATAATACTTGCTGCCATCTGAAAAGGATATTTCTTGGTGATCGGGGACTTTGTAAAAGTACAGTATCTTTTAAGACTGTCCGAGTACTTATGAACGTAGATATATGGGATTGTTCATCATTCACGGTCTCGTCAATACCATTGTTTAGCCATTTTAATCCGATTTTATTTTTGTTAAAGGTAAGATGATTGTAAATATTTGTCTCCAGCGGCGGTAATTTTATTGAGTGGTGCGACCTTTAGAAGAATGACACTAAACAAGAGACCTTTGAAACTAGATGCGATTTTTATAGCGACGTTGCAACCAATGGTGATTTGCGTTTGAACCTCAATTAACCAGACACTTCGGTTGCAAAGGAAGTTATAATTACGATAATTCCAG